TCCATTTAAAAATGATAGAGTAAAAAGGTTTTAACTTCTGCTGACATGCCCATTATAATGGTTCTTTTGAAAATGTTCCTTTTTCAGGAACACACCTGTTAGCTTTGCATCCCTATGACCAAAATACTTGACGAAAACAACTCAGAGGAGGAAAAGTTTATTTGGATCTCATTCCATAGACAGCTTAGCCAGTGCACTCGACCTAAAGTGAGGCAGAACATCATGCCAAAGGGCACAGCAGAAAAAAACTGTTCAGCTCCTGGTAACCAGGCAGGAAGGGTGGGGCACAGGATACACCTCCAGTAACCCACATTCTCCAGCCACTCCCCACCCAACTACAGTTACCACCTACCACAGTAGTCCTTTCCAAGTAGGATGGACTGATCAGTTTACAGCTTTCACAATCCCATCAGTTCACTTCTGATCAATCCTGCTTTAACAGAGGAGTTTCAGGGGACACTTGATATCCAATCCATAACAACACCTAAAACTTCTTGCATAGACACTTTGAAATATTTGAGTCTAATTCTATTTTCTTTGGTACAACATTCACATTGCATGTTCATTTTAATTTGATATATTTCATGCAGGCAAAATATAGGTCAATTTTTGGACTTTTTATAGAACTACCCTTGTTCAATAGCATAGGAAAAATATTCTTGCAATTGTCTTTGCTGTACTTTTACTTTCTGTATATGTAACATGTCTTCTTTGAGAATGGGTATGTACACCTACCAATGTTCACTTTTATGCCTTTTGTCTTTATATGTCAATTTGGTTGAACACTATTTATGACTTCAGAATAAACTGCTCAGAATTTTTTTAAAAAATCAAAAGATCTTTAGCCAAAACTCATTGAGAATTCAGATGCATTTGTATAATTGATTGTGCAATTGTCTCCAGATTTCAAATTTCATTAGGGTAAAAGCCATGTCTTATATCTAAGCCATGTCTAGTATAACCTTAATACTTAACAAGGCATTTGACATAAATCATGAACTCAAAAGTAATTATTTCAAGTATAATTGAATTAAATTGTTTTAATGTGTTTGCTGTGTATTATTTAAATAGATCACCATCTCCTGTTTACTTACCATACCCTATCCACTGTCTGTTCACTATGTAAGATTTAACAACCAAGCATATTTATGTGTGTGTGTGTGTGTGTGTAGATAGATAGGTATTAGCCTTATAGCAATCAGTTTTATTAGAGCAATATTAGGCAGTATTTATCAAACTCTTCCTCTGTTTCCTAAAATTCAAAACACTAGATATCCTTCTTGGACCTCTTAAATCTTTCATACTTATTAGAAAAAGGCAAAGACCAGCTCTATCAATCCATTTTCTAAGCTAAAATAACATTAAGTTATTTTAAACAGGGAGAAGTTTTATTCAGTAACATAAATGCTTTCAAAAACTTTGGAAGGGCTGATGGAGCAGAATATAGGCTATACTGCTGCAGGGACTCACAGAGCCATACAGAACTAGTTCCCTGGGGCATTTATCATTTCTGAGACTACCACAGGAGCTCAGGCTGAAAAAATAGGCCTTCAATGCTACTCCGTAAAAGAGCACCAAACACTACTTAGAAAAGTCTCTTGTTTTCGAGATCTCACTGTCCAGCAACATGAGCCAGGAGCTGACAGAATATAGCCTCTGTCTCCTTTACTCCCCTCCAAAATCTGGCCACAATACTTCTAATTGACTGAAACTCGTTTGCATTAAAAATGATAGTTGCAGAAGAGTTTGAGATATGCAGGTTTTTCCAAGTTAAAAAAAAATGATAAAAATTCTAGTTCAGAAATGTACATTAAAATCAATTCCTTTTGTTCACAGTAGGAGAAAATTTATTGGGAAAGCAAAAGACTGAATTTAGAAATTTTAGGTATAATTCTAGCCCTAACACTTGTTAATATGAGCAAGTCATGTGCTTTCTCTGAGACACAGTTTACATCCTTTATAGCAACATCCAGTCCTCCTTAGAGAATGATCATGAGGGTCACATGAGAAATAAACGTAAAAAACATTAAATAAATATTAATAAATTACAAGGACACATGATCAGTAAGAATGATTTTAAAAGTGGTATATAGTAATATAGTTGTTATTAGATATTTAGTGTTAAATGCATTTTATTTGCACTTCTTTTTGAAAAATGGTGATAATTTTTATATAGGATATAGTTTACCATAATATCATTTTCCAATTAACAGAAATGTAATGTAAGTGGAAAAAAGAAATAAGTCAAAATCTCCTGTAAATATTTGTGCCAGTATGTATATCATAGCATCGTAGAACTCCTAGATTCTTTAGGAGATATTGTTCTAATAAATAATAAAAGCTACATTTGAAACTATTCATTCTGTCATTTTATATCTGTTTTATAGCATTTGGGGTGCTTCCTACATTTACATTGAAAAGCCTTTCAAATTTTGTAACTTTTGTGATCTTGTGTAAATATGAAGTTGGGTTCATTTTTTTAGTTGGCCAGGTCTCTAAAAAGTGGGTTTTAAGCTTCCAGACAGTAAAGAATGAAGCTTTCTAGTTCAGTAAGCCCCTTGATAACAGGAAAAGAGTTACTGGGGAATTGCTTTTCACTTTGTGTTATCATTTAGATTGAAAAAGTATAAACTCATAATTATCTAGTGTGATTTACTATTTTGATTGAGCTCCAGTTGCCAGTGTGATAAGATGACCTTATGAGCAGAATAACATTGAGCCCCCAGAAATCAATAAGTATAATAAAATCTTTTTACTGACCCTTCCTTCCTACTCACCAAATCAATTGCTTTTTACCTTCTGATTTTTCATGAAAAGTTCTACAATTCATTTTACTACCTGTCAAAATGAAACATCTTTTTTTTTAAGAGAGAGAGTGGTTTGATATTTCAATTCCCTTTACTGATTGTTTTCATTTCTTTGTTTCTAGGCACTAACATACTTATCTAATATTCCAGTCCCCCAATTTGGAATAAAACATAAATAGTGATTGAAAATGAGGACTAACAAAGTGATTATTAAAGATATTAGCTTTCATCAAGTGTTTTGTCATTCTTCAAATTATGGGATGAGACTTATAAACTCTCTGTATGAATCACTTGGAAAAGTAATAAGAGGATAACACATTTTTCTTCTTTCCTAAGAATCAGAAGTAACCTCCCAGACAATAGTCATATAAATTCTATGTACCAGACACAGGGATTTGAACCCCCTTGAGCCTAGGTTCCTGGATTGGGGAAATTTGTGTCTCTCTCACATGTAATGCAGCCACAGCCTCACAACATCTTGGTTATTGGATGCTTGCTCATCCTCAAAATACTGCGATACTTCACTGGGCAACAGGAACAAACCAGGGAGAAGTAAGGTTTCTTCAAGTACTGTACATGGCCCCCAGTGATGTGTCAGGGTTACACCAGTTACCTGCCCTCTCTGATAGCTTTCAAGTATTTTTATTACTGGACTTTTTCCAGCCTTGCCTCATATTGAAGATAAAAGCTCCAGGCCTATAAGTATAGTTCAGCAGTAGAGAGCTTATCTAGCATGTATTAGGCCCTGAGTCCAATACTCAGCACTGAAAAAAATAAATAAGTAAATACAATCTCTTGGAAGAAGTCTTTTTTTTTTTCCTGCACACACCAAACAATGAGTTTTCCCTAGTGTCTAACAAAATACTCCAGCTCATTTTACAGCATTGATTTCATAATTCAGTCTTCCCACAGAGTCATTTATTGTAATAGTTGTTAGAAAACACATAGTCTTGATGAAAGAGAAGTGAATTTGGCTATACAATGAGGGTCATTTCAGGAAAGGAAGAATGATGAACACTTGTGAAATATTTAGGGCCCAGCTTCTGAGCTGAGTGTGACATATGACTTAAGTATTGTAGACATGTGATCCATTCACTGCTTGTTTTTTATACCAAACTGAATTTTTTTTCTTTGCTGTGTACCATGTAATAGAAAATATAAATGGTGATTGTCAAGTCAACACTTTTGTGTTCTGTTTATTGATTCAATCAACCTTCATATATGACTGTGCATTGTAATTTATAACTTCAATTGATGAGATTCAATCCTACAAGGAGTCTTTATAAAGCAGATAAGCATTTAAAGGGAAAGGTATAAAGAAGTAGAAATTAGAAAACTGCAGCTCTATTTCATGTACCTAAAATTATAGCACCAATCTTTGACAGTGTGCTCATATTCTTGCTTTAAATTTATACCTGTTTTCCTTCAGAGTTGACTGTTTACCCAAGGTAAGTATCTCATAGTGAAGTATATGCTGTATAAAAATAAATTGATTTACTAAAGCTTAAAACCAGGAGTAAAATCTTAACCTTTCTTTTTCCTTGTCGCTCTGTATCCAAAACATCACAGGCAATTATATGGCATTAATAACCTGCCTTATAATCCAACCACCCATAATATAGATTTGTTTTCCACCTTCACCTAATCTGCATCATAGAAATAGTTCCCTAAGATATGACTATGATTCATTTCCTCCCTTATAGTTCATGTCCCCAGATTCTTCTTAAAATAGAGTATATGTTAAGTGTACATGCTCATATTATGCAAATATAAATACTTCTAAATCCTTTTGTTTACCTGTAAAAGTTCATCACTTTTATGGTTCATACTTACCTTTCTTGTTTTGTACACACACACACACACACACACACAGAAATCACATGTTCTTCCCTCTACCTTTGGGCACTTGCTCAAATAATACATTTTTTAAAAATTCCTGTTTATCTGAAAAAAAGTCAAATTTACTTCCTATCTTTCCCCAAAACTTTCTGTATTCAAAATTCAGAATATCCACACACCATATGTCCCAAGAGATTATAAGCTGCAGGAAGATTATAAATTCCATTTTGCTAGTTCATTTTATATTTATTTCTCATACTCAGCATAAAATTCAGTGTATTCTCTATAGGAGGTATCTGCTTTTTAATTGATTGAATTGATCACATTCCATCCTGATGTTCTGACTTCTTTCAGGAACATGGCATACCGATCAACATGGGTTATGCTGTGGCCCCACATCACTCAGGGGTCTACCCAGTTCATATTCAGCTATATACGGCTTGGAAGAAGGTCTGGGGTATTCAGGTCACCAGCACTGAAGAATATCCACATTTGAAACCTGCACGGTACAGAAAGGGCTTCATTCACAATAGCATCATGGTGAGCACATACCACTGTATATCTTTGAAGGGTTTTGAGATTTACTCATGGATTGAAGACAGATCATCATTACCTTTAAGGATACAGAATCAAACTCCTTTTACATGAATTTCAGATATTCCCAGCCTACCATGGTGGTGACTGGGTCACACACGAATACGTTGTTTGGCTATAAGATTCCTTCCTAAGCTGTGGAGTGAATTTGGCGAGTCTAAGACAAACTAGAAATAGTGGAAATGAGTCTTGTATAGATTACCCACTGAGGTTTCAGAATTTAAATTTGGTCTAGTGAGGCTAAACTTCTTCTGAGTAATTCCTCAATTCTATTTGTTTGGGTAGTTTAACTGAGAGTTAAAGGCAGGCTGTGGTTCCATAGATCAAGAAAACTCTTCTCAAAATGCTGCACTGTCAACAGAAAGAATGGAATAAAATAGCACCTGAGAGCTAAATTTATCCACTCAATTTGACTCTTAGGGTACTTCTCTTTTTGTCCTCTTTTTTCTAGGATACTCCCAAAAGGGTGGTATGTATTTCCACTTTGTATGTTACAGAACAAATACAGAATGATATATCCATTCTTGTAAATGAGAATAAAACCATTACTTCTTGTAATAAAAAAAGATACTAATCAATTGGATCTAAAATGGTCTGTTTTAAAAGATCTATCTCCATTTCTTATAACTCATTACTAGTTGTCAAACTCAGAACAACAGTTTATAAAATGTTCTCTCTTTTAAATATTTGTACTGTATCAATCCTTTATTCATATTGTTGTTACAAAAGTATGTATCTATCTATCAATCTGTCTACGTAATCACTATCTAAAATCAAAGAAAAGGCATATTCATCTATCTAGAGCTGGTATTCAATATTCATTTACCATGAAACTTTAATTATTTTATTGAAAATTGATAAAAGAATACCTAAAGAAGATGCTGACTCAAGTGACACTTGTCAATAATAAAAATAGTGACACAGATATCTCTAGGAATCTAGGAGGAATAAAATATTATAAAATATTATTTAAAATCACCATGAAGCCACCCATTTTTTCCTTTATTAGGTTGCATAACCATTCAATGTTTTATGAAATGAAAATATTCCCTTGAACCAATATTATATACATTCATTTACCTTGAGTTTAATCAGATTTATGAAAATCAAATGAAGAATAAATATAATTATAGCTACTCTGTTCAATTGGGTGCAATTTTCATTAGATTATAAGTAGTTTTCTCTTCAAAATAAAAATCTGGAATAAAATTACTTATTTGTTTTCTCTGTTGAACATTCAGATTTGCAATGGAATTAATCACAAAATATGACAGAAATAATCATTAGATGGTATGGCTACTCCTGTGGTAAAATAAAATTCAGAGTAGAGTTAAAAAAAATGTGGTGGGTGATGGTGATAACAATTGTCTATTTTTAATCCCAGAACCTGAATGCAATGGAAGACTAAATTTTAGAAACAAGGAGAGGAATGGCCTAATTGCACAAGAAATACAACCTTGGAGGCTCCCCATTTTTAAATTAATTCTAAAACAGCTTTTCTTTTTTAACCAATCGTTTAACATAAAGTCAGGTGGGACTTTACAGTTATAGGACCACGTGAAAATTATTTGCCCTGTAAATTCTGTATCCCTTAATATTTACAAAATTATACCAACATCAACTCTGTAAGACTTTGACCTCATCAATCAAGGCCCTTTAACAGGAATTGACATTTGCAGATTCTAAAGTCATAAAATAGCGGTGGATTTCTTAATCAAGTCATGCCCATGTGCCATTTTTACACCCTTTTCTCAGGTTCTCCCTCGACAGACCTGTGGGTTATTCACCCACACTATTTTCTACAAAGAATATCCAGGAGGACCCCAAGAATTGGATAAAAGTATCAGAGGAGGTGAACTTTTCCTCACAATCCTTCTAAATCCGGTATGTGTTCTATTTATGTATCTTACAATTACTTTGGTGTTTTCAAAATATTTCACTTTTATTTTTTAACTTGAATTATCCTTGTGTTTTTTTTTTCTTTTTCATGAGCAACATACTTTGAACTGACAATGGGTTGAAATTTGTAGTTCAAATCATTTTCTTGATAAAAGTTAACTTCTTTGGGTAGATCTGATTACAAAGTAGTGTTTTACTCTGAGATGTGATTGATGCAAAACTTATTTCTAACAGTAAAAGAGGTGTTATGTATTCTACTTTCTTAAGCTAGTTCTTTTTTCATTTGGCTTTATTAAGGTATAATTGACACATAAGAATTTTTTGGAATGTAGAGTTTTCTATATATAAGACCACGTTGAATGCAATCTAGGTCAATTTAACTTTTTCCTTTTCAACTTGGATGCCTTTCATTTCTTTTCCTTGCTTAATTGCTCTGGCTAAAACTTAATACAAATTTGAGTAACAGTGGTGAGACTGTGCATCCTTGTCTTGCTCCTTATCTTAGAGGAAAAGCTTTTAGCTTTTCATCGTATGATGAAGTGTGATGTACATGAACTTAGCTGTGGGTTTATCATACATTGGCTCTATGATGTTAAGATGCATTTCTCTCAAATTTGTTGGGCGTTTGTATCATGAAAGGATATTGAATTTTCTCAAATGCTTTTTATTGAGATGAACATGATTTTTATTCTTTGTTCATTCGGTTTCTGTGGTGTATCTCATTTAATGACTTGGATATGTTGAACCACACTTGCATCCCTGGGATAAATCACACTAAATCATGGTAAAGGATCCTGTTATACTGAGAATTTTAGATTCTAAATTTATAACAGATAAATTTCCTTTTTGTTTTTGTTATTGTGTTCTCACATATTATTTACTTCAGTTTCTAAAAATGTTCACCATGCAAAAAGCTGCATTGAAAATATGTACCCATGTATTATCCTTTTTTTTTGCCAAGGACATGAGTGGTTTATTTAATTTTTTAACTTGTTCTAATTAGTTATACATAACAGTAGAATGCATTTTGACATAACTTCTCATTCCTCTGGCTGTACATTGTACAGAATCACACCAGAAGTGTAATCATACATGTGTATAGAGTAATAATGTCTACCTTATTCTACTGTTCTTTCTATCCCCACAGCCCCTCACTCCCATCTGCACAATCCAAAGTTCCTTTGTTCTTCCCTCCCCAACCTCAACTGTGGATCAGCATCCATTGATCAGAGCAAACATTCAGCCTTTGTTTTTTGGGGACTAGCTTATTTCACTTAGCATATTCTCTAGTTCCATCCATTTACCAGCAAATGCCATAATTTCATTCTTCTTTAAGGCCGAGTAATATTCCACTGTGTATATGTACCACATTTTCTTTACTCATCTGTTGAAGGGAATCTAAGTTGGTACCATAGTTTAGCTATTGTGAATTGAGTTGCTATAAACATTGATGTGGATGTATCTCTGTATTTTGCTGACTTTAAGTCCTTCAGGTATAAACTAAGGAGTGGGATGGCTGGGTCAAATGGTGACTATGTATTATTACATAGTATTATTACATTATCTTTATACAAAGATAACCATCCTGGTAATATAAGGTGCATTTTTAAATTTTTAACTAATTTTATTTGAAGTAAAAAACAGACAACTCGTGATTGGACCATTAGGGCTCCACTTTTGTTATAGTTTAGATGTGAGGTCTCCCTCAAAAGCTCACATCTGAGACAATGCAAGAAGGTTCAAAGTAGTAATTATTTGGCCCCCAAAGCTTAATCCAATCAGTGAAGTGATGGCCTGATGAGATTAATTGATTGGAAACTGAAGACAGGTGGGTTGTGGCTGGAGGAAGCACAGCATTTGGGGCATGGCTTTGGGGTATAAATTTGTATCTGGCAAGCAGAGTCTCTCTCTGCTTTCTGACCATCATGTGAGCTGTTTCCCTCTGCCACACTCTTCCATTATGCTGTTCTGCCTTATATAGAGCCCTGAAGAATGGAACTGGTCTTCTATGGACTAAGACCCATGAAACCGTGAGCCCTCAAATAAACTGTCCACCCCTAAAATTGTTCTGGTCAGATCTTTTAGTCACAGCAGCAAAAAAAACTGACTAAATCAACCCTCAAGAGTGAGTTTAAAATATTTTTCAGGAGTGGGTATGCTTGCTTGCATGCAGAGTCTGTCTGTATGTCTGTCTGTCTCTCTCTCCTTTATATATATATATATATATATATATTTATATTATATATAATATAATATAATATATATAATATAATATATTAATATAATATAAATATATAATATAATATATATTAATATAATATAAATATATATATATATATATATAGAGAGAGAGAGAGAGAAACATATATCTATAATGTATAAATATAAATCAGAGGATTGGACACTTTTTTCTATAATTGTGTCCTTACATCTTTCAAATTTGCAATGATAGTTTTTTATAAATATATGTATAAATCAGGCCTCACTCTGTGGGAATATATTTTCATTAGATAATGTTAGCATTATTTAAGCTTTCTGATTTTTTTTTCTCCCACAATGATTCCAATTTCTGGGGCTCCGTTAGAAAAGCATGTCTCATTTAGGTCCCAGGAAACATGAACAAGAAAGACATGAGATAAGAACATAACAGATAAGACACTTAATGTGGAAAGCAGATTAAAAATTAGCTAAACAAAATTGAGGGGGAAAAGATAATAAGCTGAAAATATTTTTGTACAAATGGGATTTACACTGTGTCCACCTTGCTTAATTTAAGAAATTTTCTTAGAGAAAAAGATATATCCTTTAGATAAAACTAGAGCTTAATCATGGTGAAGCACCAGGTATGTTTGAAAGTAAATTGTGTTAGATATTTATATATATAACATTTTAATTTATGAATATATTAAGAACATAAAATGTACGATTTTTTTCAAAATTTTTAAATTAGATTGGAGGGGTAGGAAATGGGGATAAAATAATTTGTCAGAGTGTAGTAAAAAACTTTGTTCTGAAAACAAAATAGTCTGTTAAATCACAGTGTTGAAATGGCACTAAACTTGGAACAGGAGCGTGATGTCCTGAGATTCTTAGCAGAGTACTTTATTTCTCAGACTTGCTTATTTTCCTGTAAAATAAACTAGTTGAACTGAATGATCTTCAGTGTCCCTCAGAGGTACTCCCATTGAACCCAAACCCAAGATAGTCCAACTGGTTGTAGATATTACAAATTTAGTGCCTTTTGTATGTATTTTAAAGGTACCAAGGGCATTATAAAAATGATTTTTAAAAACTGAGGTGCACATGTGTATATTAATGAAGCAAATGTGGAAATCTCTTTCTATATCCCTTCCTTCGCTGAAATTTTAAACTCAGCAGAAGCAAGAGTCCCTTCATATCATTTAGTTCTTGGACTCTACTCTTGACTGCTCTTTGCTCTAGCATTTCCTAAGGGAAAGTCAGTATTCATCACAATATTGTGCCTCTCCTAAACCTCTTGCCCCATGTTTGATCGTTATTAGTGTTTACTAATTGGGTGCCTAACTACTTATTATTAAAAACATGAATTTATATCTCTCTTTTTAATTGTTTTGAATCCAGTGCCCTTCATAAAGCATAATTTTGAGACATAAATGTTGTCCTTTAAATGAGATAAGTTGTTTGGTTTCTAGAATTCCATCTTCAGCACTTATGAACTAACAAATGTATACTAAGCACTACTAGCTTCAGTGAAAAGGCTCATCATCATTAACACATAAATGTATTTTAATTTCAGACAGAACATACAGTGAAAGAAGAGAGTTTCAGGAGGATTCTCATATCCAGTTGCAAACTTTACCTGTTTTAGCATTGTGACTTGATGGTGAAAATTTTTTAACAGATTAGAATAGATGGATAAAGGAGAGAGACCTGAACAGATAATGCAGAAAGAGCAATGCTAAAGATGGTCAATAGCAGGGATAAGATCATACATTCTAGTATAGCAATGTGAAATTTAGATCAGGGAACTGGTAGTCCACAAAGATGTGGGATTGAAAAACAATGTTGTTTAAAACAAGGAAAGTGCATAACTACAAGAAATCCAAGTTGATCTTACTGAGCTCGTTAGGCAGACAGGTTACAGACAGCCTAGAGCACAGATTAAATGGAGCTTAGTTCCAGGGCTGCATAAGCATAAGCTAACAGGTGTTTTAGACAGGTTTCTCCAGAGAAATAGAACCAAGAAGACAGAGAAAGGGATAGAAAGCAAGAGTCAGAGACTACAGAGAGGAGAAAGAGATTGTTATAAGAAATTAGCTCATACAATTCTGGGGACTGTCAAGTTCCAAGATCCACTATGCACTCAAGACTTGGAGACCCAGAACAGGAAATAGTGTTTCCAATCTGAATCCAAGGCCTGAGAGCCAGGAGAACTGAAATAGTACAGATTTCAATCCAACTGCCAGAAGGCTTAAAATCAAGAAGATCTAAAGACTTAACATTTAAGTTAGAATCTGAAGGCACACATACACAGACACACAGACACACACACACACACAGACACACACACACACAGACACACACACACACAAATTCAGTGTCCTGTGAGGCGAGAGACAATTCCTTCTTACCCAGCTTTTTAGTTCTATTCAGGCCTTCAAGTGATTGGATGAGGCCCATTTACATTAGTGAAAGCAATCTGCTTTATTCTATGCCAGAGATGTGTACTGGACTTATTTATATACTGTACTCATCCCAAAACACCCTCATGGGTATACACCAAAAAAATGTTTGACCAAATAGTTGGGCATTCTGTAGCCCAGTCAAGTTGACATATAAAATTCACCAATATAACAAATTTAATGTGGGAAGCAGATTGAATGTTAGCTAAACAAAATTGAGTGGGGGTGGATAATAAGCTGGGGGTTGTTTTTTTGTACAAGGGTTTTCTTTTGAACAGAGAAAACTTTATAGATAATGGGTTATCAACTGTACTCACCTCAGTA